ATTTGCCTAATTATAATTCCAATATATTTATTTGTTCAGATGTTAAACTCATTAATAGCAGGCGGATACTTGTGTCAATTGCCAACATTTATTGGGTATATGCTATGGGCTAGGCACTGTTTCAAGCACTTCCTATATCTTAACCCGTTTAATCCTAACAATCTATGAGGAAGAAACTACTCTTATCCATATTTTACAGAAAAAGCTAAGGCCCGGAATGTCAGAAACTTGCCTGAGGACAGACAGCTTGTAGGTGGCAGAGCTGAGATTCGAACTTGGAATCTTCATGACCCACACTCTTACCTGGAATTGTCTCAGACATCTGCAGTCGCATTGGCCTCCATCCTCTCCCGCTTGTGCCCTAGGCTGGGCCCCTGGGCTTGGTCCAGTCACTTCCATCTCTCCCCGCTGTTCTGTCCTCCTTCCTCTGCTCGTTCTACAGGCGTCCGTGGGCCCCAGTTGATGCCTTTTCCCCACCCTGTTGACCCCGCCCTCCCCGCGTCTTGGCCACTAGAGGGCGCGAGGAGCAGAAACTCGAGGGTAACAGGTGTCTGGCAGCGGCCGGGAAGGGGGCTGGTTCCGGAGCAGAGGCTCAGAGGAGAGGGACAGAAGGAGGGGCGTTGGGGGTCTGGGGACACGGGGAAGGGCAGGAGAGCAGCAGCCGGTGAGATGTATTGTCTCCCCCTGCGTCACCCCACCACACGCTTGGCACCAGATCTTACCTACTCATTCCATTCCCCTAAAACTGCAACACCAAGACATTTGGGTGTCCTGCTCAAACTGGAGATCTGAGCGTTGTACAGATTCCCCTGAAGGCATAGTCAGTCTTTCCGTTTTGGTAGTGCAGTGAGATTTAGAGGACGGGGGACATCAGTAGGAAATTTTAATAGATCTTCACACTGACGAGACCTCATGCTAATGACACATATTTTGTTTTTAAGAGTTGAATACTAGTTAGGATGCATATTCAGAAAAATTATACTGCTTTTAAATTAGGACTCAGCTGTGAGCGTGGGGATTTGTTTTGTTGCTATCCCAGGGTCTAGCACGGTATCTATAACTATAATACCGATATATAAATCGCTCAATTGAAATAGGAATTTTATTAATGGATCATTTCACTCTGAAGGTAAAGCTTTGCCTATTTAGTCATGTAGATAGAATGTGGGCTATTCTCTAATGAGGAGGATAATTTAATAACCAGCTCATCTAAGCCCAGAGCTCTGGTCAACTTCCCCCAAAGCTTCCAGTACCCGCTGGTTCTAAGAGGCAGCTGTGGTGCTGTGGAGAGCACCCTGGGCTGGGAGCCAGAGACCTCAGTTTTCATTCTCGCTCTCCCTGCCCTGTGTGCATTACTGGGCTGGTCACTTCCTCATCTGTAAAAGAGCCATTACTGGTTTAATAAAGTCAGGACCATGGTGAGGATTACAAGATAAACACTATCTTTTTTTCCCTGTCAACCCAGGCAAAGCTCAGACTTTAGATTAATCTAACCCTCCCTCTTTGCTCCTTTACGTGGGCTGTGGGACACACAGGAGAGGCGAGCCATCCAGGCATGCACACTGATGCAGCTGCAGGCTTCTGGAATCTCATAGCACCTGGACCCACCGTCCTCTCCATTTGCAAAGCCGTGTACATGTTCTAACTTAGCCTGCTCTTTACTTTCCTACAATGGTTATTCCAACCTTTGGCTATATTTAAAGTTCTCCGTATCTCTTCCCAAACCGAAGCTATATGTATATATATATACATATAAAGAATCTACACATGTTATCAATTCTTAAGGGGGGAAAAAAAAGCATAGAAAAAAGACTGGAGTGAAATATGCTAGAATGTAGATTGTGGGTTTTTGGTCCTTCATATTTCTCTGTGCTTTTCAAGTGTTCTAGTCCATTGTGTATTGCATGATGTTTCCAAAATAACAACAACAAAACAGAAAAACTACCATTCGAGGAGCTACCACCTACCCATTGATTTATCCTCCCACCCCCTGCTCCCAAATCTGATTCCCGGCCCAGATGCAGGGTTCTCGCTCTCCCTCTCCGGGGCTAATCTGATCATCTGTGCAATTAATTCTATATTCTTCTGACTTCTCAAGGATCTTGCCTTGACATTAGATAACCCTTTTTCTCCCCACTCAATCTCCCATTCCTTTTTGGTCTCTTTGCGAGCATGTAAGTATGCTTAAAGGAATTCCCTGGAGGTCCAGTGGTTAGGACTCGGTGCTTTCATTGCCAGGGGCCAGGTTCAGTCCCTGGTCGGGGAACTAAGATCCCACAAGCCACATGGTGCGGCCAAAATAAAAATACGCTGAAGTCCCCTCCATATATCAGCAAACAAGCAAAACTCCCCAGGCTCCAGCTCCGCCTTGGCTCCTGTCTAACTCTAGACCCGTACCCCCTTTTCCTTTTATATATAGTCTGAGTTCTAGAAAGAGTCTGAATTCCATCCTCTAAATCTCCACGACTGACCGTTTAACCCATTGCAGCCTGGCTTCCACCTTCACAACACCCTTAAAATTGCTCTTGCCAATTTCAGGCTTTTCTCCTTTTCTCCTTGCTCTTCTCCTTTCAGGCTTCGTCTTCCTCTGCTCTTCTGACTCCGCTCAGTCTTGTTGGAACATCCCTTCTATGCCATAAATTCTGCCACCTGTTAGGAATGTCCCAGACCAGCTTTTCCTGGGCTCGTGGGGCAGGGATCACTGCGTGAGGCGTATCTCCCGGGCCCTTCACACGTGGTGTGTCTACCGTGGGGTTCGAGAGCTGCTCTCCCCCGGTCCTTTCCTCCTCATTTTCTGGACCCCTGCCACCTTTCGGGTGTCCCCGTCCCCTCCTCAGCTTGTTGGCTGTGCTGTCGGTGTGAAACCTGACTGTGACTCACCTGGACTTTTGCAGTGCTCTCCCAGCCATGTCTCTGATTCTAGTGTTGACTGCGTCTCACCGCCAGCAATAATCTTTGTCACACACGCCTCCCATCCTCTCTGACCCTGGCTTCAAATTCCTTGGTGGCCTCCCATTGCCCAGAGGTACAACCCGAGCTCCTCTCCGTGATCCTTCATGGTCTCGCTCGCTTTACGTCTCTTGCCCATGTCCCGCCACGCCCCAGTAGCTTGCATTCCACGCTCCCATAGCTTGGACTCCTCTGATTCTTCAATTCCGTTATCTTTTGCCCCTTTGCATATATTTCCTTTGTGCAGGATATTTTCTCTGTGCTGGCACATTGGACAGATTCTGTCTCATCTGTCGAATGTCAGCTCAAATACTGCCACTTCTGTGATGTCCTCCCTGATTTCTCCCAGGGAAGACTCAGGTACTTCTTTTCCTGTATTCTCCCTGCCCTTTGTATAAGTTTCTTATCATACTTTAATTTGTTTTGTTTATTTCTCTTTTAGATTGTAAGGTTCGTGGGGCAGGCGATATGACTAATTTTTTAGCTTTTTTTTTTTTTTTACTGTGAAATATCATGCACACAGAAGTGCATTAATCAAAACTTAGATCACTTATATGTAGAGCCTAAAATATAATACAGGGAATTCACTGGTGGTCCAGTGGTTAGGACTCCGCACTCTCATTGCAGGGAGCATGGGTTCGATTGCTGGTCAGGGAACTAAGATCCCACATGCCACGTGGCGTGGCCAATATATATATATATATGTGTGTGTGTGTGTGTGTGTGTATATATAATACAAATGAACTTAATGTACAAAACAGAAACAGACTTACAGACATAGAAAAGAAACATATGGTTACCAAAGGGGAAAGGGCGGGGAAGGGATAAATTAGGAATTTGGGATTAACATATAAACACTGCTATATATAAAGTAGATAAACAACAAGGTCCTATTGTATAGCACAGGGAACTATATTAAAAATCCTGTAATAAACAAAAATGGAAGAGAATATGAAAAAGAATATATATACATATGTATATAACTGAATCACTTTGCTGTACACCTGAAACTAACACAACATTGTAAATCAACTAGACTTCAAAAAAAAAAAACTTAGGGATAATGAATAATCATAAAGTGAACACTTGTGTAACTACTGCCCAGGTCATGAAAAGGAGTATTTTCAGTCCTCCAGGAGCCCCCTGTATCCTTTCCAGATCCCACCCATCCCCCTACTATCTTTTCTTCATAGTTGCACTACCATTTCTAAACAAATCATTTAGTTTTACCTGTTTTTGACCTTTATACAGTCAGATCATGTTTTCTGTTGTGTTTTACTTCCTTTATTCAACATTGTGTTTGTATGTGATTACGTGTCCTCATTTTTATTATTGTATCGCAGCATTTCATTACATGAATTTACTGCATGTAATGTATCTATTAATGGATGTTTGGTTTATTTCCAGTTTGGGGCTATTATGGTGCTTCAGATATCTTATACACTTCTTTTGTTCCCCATGTGCATGAATTTCCTCAGGGTATAGATCCAGGAATGGAACTGCCTGTCACAGGGTGTATATATCTTCAACTCTACCAGATAATGCTAAACTGTCTTTCAAAGTGTCTGTCGCAATTTACATCCCACCAGCCTTGTAGAGGGTGCCCATTGCTCTGTATCTTTGCCAATATGTGGTATTGTCAGACTTTTCCACTTTTACTGACATGGTTGGCATGGAGTAGTATTTCACTGTGGCTTTAATTTGTGTTTCTCTCTTAGTAAGGAGGCTGAACACCTTTCTGAGTTAATGGGTCAGCTGAATTTCCTCCTAAGTGAAGGCCCATTTAAGTTTTGCTCACTCTCTAACAGGTTGCTTGTCTTTATTTTATGGCTTTGAAAGTTCTTGCACATTCTGGATATGAGTCCTTTGTTGGCTGTATGTGTTGAAAATAAGCTATACTATAAAATCACAAACATTAAAATTTATTGATTATAGTGTTTTTAAAATTCTTTCCCTTCGCACTAATAAGTAAGTAGAAACAGGATAATTAGACAATAAATAATAGTATACATTCCTTCAAATTAATCCTGTCCTTCCCTTCTTCTCTCCAGGCGTCATCATCGTCCCCAGTGCCGGCGTTGGGATTGTCCTTGGAGGCTACATCATAAAAAAATTGAAACTTGGTGCAAGGGAATCTGCAAAACTAGCGATGATCTGCAGTGGTGTGTCTTTACTGTGCTTTTCAACCCTGTTTATTGTTGGATGTGAAAGTATCAATCTAGGTGGCATAAACATCCCGTATACAACAGGGTAAGTATCTTGGAAGAGGCGTCTCATCTCATCCTGGTCATGATTGAAGTGCGGAGCTCTGCGGTGTTTGGATCCCACGGTTCGGCTTGCGTCCCTCCCTCCATGCGGGGCTCACTACGTCTGCGTTTCTGTCCCGGTAGAGCTGCACTCTCTTGGGCAGAGGCCTCCGTCTCTCCGTTGTCTGTGTCCCTTTTGACCCTCGCAACATCTCCCATGACATTTGGGCTACAGTACGTGAGGAGGAAATGCTAGTTGGCTTAATGAAAACTGTTCTTTTTTTTTTTTAATGTAATGTTTTGAATAGGTAGTACATTCACACAGTTTCAAAACAAAGTTCAATGAAAATACAGTGTGTCCCAAGGCCTCCACCCCACTTCTCCCCAAAGACAAACCAGGGAACCACTTTAATTCATCTCTTGTGTACCCTTCCAAGGATGTTCCTTATACAAGAAACTATGAATGTGTATTTTCAGTGTTTTCTGTTTTATATCCAAAAGGTAGCATTCTATACATTCTTTTCTTTTTGATTTATTTATTTATCTATTTATCTATTTATTTATTTATGACTGTGTTGGGTCTTCGTTGCTGCGCACGGGCTTTCTCTAGTTGTGGCGAGCGGGGGTTACTCTTCGTTGCGGTGCGCGCGCTTCTCATTGCGGTGGCTTCTCTTGTTGTGGAGCATGGGCTCTAGGCACGCGGGCTTCAGTAGTTGTGGCTCGTGGGCTCAGTAGTTGTGGCTCGCGGGCTTAGCTGCTCCGCGGCATGTGGGATCTTCCCGGACCAGGGCTCAAACCCGTGTCCCCTGCAATGGCAGGTGGATTCTTAACCACTGCACCGCCAGGGAAGTCCCTGTACATTCTTTTCTGAGCTTTTGTTTTTTTTTTATGTAACGATCTGGGTTGGAAACTTTCTGTCACAATAATAATAATGATGGTGATGTTCAGAGTGTAGCTAACCCTTATATTAACATTAGTGCGTACCAAGCATTCTTCTAAATGCTTTACATATATTAACTCATTAACCCTCATAACAGGCCTAATCAGGTAGGTACTATTATTATTCTGATTTTACAGAGGGCAAAACTGAGGTATGGCTGACACGTATCAGTATATAAATCCGTTCAGGCTGCTGTAAGCGAACACCATAGACTAGATGGCTTAGAAACAACAGAAGTTTATTTCTCACAATTCCGGAGGCTGGGAAGTCCAAGATCAAGATGCTAGCAGATTCGGTGTCTTGTGAGGCCCTGCTCTTTGGATCATAAATGGCTGTCTCTGGCTGTGTCCTCACATGGTGGGGGTGAGGCATCTCCCTAGGATCCTTTCTGTAAGGGCACTAATCCCATTCATAAGGGCTTCACCTTCATGACCCAGTCACCTCCCAAAGGCCCCAAACTCCAAATAGCATCACGTTTGGGGTTAGCTTTCAACATGTGAATTTTTCATGGACCCAAACATTTAGTCTATTGACCTAGAGATCACAGGCAAGGATTACACAAGAAACATGTGTAAAGCTCTCCTGGCACACAGTAAGTGCTCAGTGATAGTTAGCTGTTGTTATTAGTCATCACTAATCCATTAAGAACAATTTCTATCACATTATTTTTACTACAATTGGAAAACATAAATAGAATATTAAAAATTAGTAAGAAAAAGCAGCAGTCTCCTGACCCTGCTTCCCAGGGGCAATAATTTAAAATTCTTTTTAGCTATCTCTTCTGGTATTTACCTCTGTATTTTTAAAGCATACTGTATAAATTAACCAAATGAAGACATTATTTATGACTTCCTGTCTTAGTAAATGAGGAGTCTAGCATTTGCTTCACAAGTTGTGCTCAAATCCTTTTCTGATATTTTCATGGTATGGTTATGACAGTATTGTTAGCCGCTGAGGCACAAGTACTGTATCGTGATTAGATTTCCTCCTTTGTACAGCAGTGATTTTCCTGGAATTAAATCACTACCTTGTTTTCATTTCCTTTGTTTTCTTTGAGTCTGCTTCTGCCTTCCCTTATCGTCTAAGGGCTCAAGAAATCTCAATATGCATTTTCACCCATCCGATGAACTCAGGATTCCATTTCCCCACCCCTTGGAGCCATCTGTATGGGAGCCCTCTGGGCCTGCTGCCCCGCTGTTGCCCCAGGAATCTCACTTGCCTCTCTCTGTGCTGATCCTTCGTTTTCTAGGTTCTGTGGTTGCCTCTTTTTTGGTTTCCTCCCCCATTTTGCTAGAGCACATCCTCCAGTAGCTACAGGAAGGCTGTCAAGGCTGTTACCTTTTTTTTTTTTGGAGATTTTTCATGAAATAGCCTCTTTTTTTTTTTTTTTTTTTTTTTTTTTAACAATTACATTTGATTGCCAAATTGGCTGGGTTAAGAACTTTGGACTGGATGAATCATTTTCACTAAAAAATTTAAAGTTTTCACTCCATTTTTGTCTAATTTCTAATGCTCTTGTGGGAATTCTGGTCTTTCTTTTTCCCAATCCTTTGTATGTGCCCTACTTTTCCTTCCTGGGAGTTTCCATTTATTCCCACTATTCCCAAATTTCACCACAATACACTTTTTTTTTCCTCTGAGCACTTGATGAACTTTTAATGTCTGGAGACCATGTCTTTTGTTTCCATTTTAACTTTTTTAAAAAATGTAATTGTTGTTATTTTCTCTCCATAGTTTTTTTTCTCCTATCTCCTTCATTGATTCTCTACTTTTCTTATTCTTTATAAACTATTTTCTATCTCATTATGGCTTGTCATTTAGTGGATCTCACTGTAGGGTAATTGCAGGGGGACAGCTGGCATTTTCATTGGGGTGCTCAGTTTCAGAACCTGAGGTCTTACCTTTGAGGTGCTTCAGTTCCTCAAGAGAAGGATGCTCCTATCTCCTGGCTTGGGCTGTGTTGTGGTGGGTTCAGGGTTGTAAGCCTAGCTGCTGACATTCTAGAGCTGGGAGTAGGGTGGTGGGTGGAAGAGGCTAGGGAGCTACTGTTCATTTTGCAAACTTTTACCAAATTCCTCTGTCATCATCCTAGCATCTTGCCAAACGTCTCTTTTATGTGGTGCTCTTAAGTCCAGAGCCTTTGGTTCATTTTCTCCAGAAGCTAGAGGGGGTGGAAGAAGAAGTGGTCATCTACTAAGTAGGGTGGGGAAGGGAACCTGCTTAAAATTGTATCATATTTGGACCATCACTTTCTTGTGGTGTTTGTCCTTGAGTTCCAAAGGCCTGTTCTTTCTCCTCCTACTGGCGTTTATCTTGTCCATATATATATTTAAGTTCTCATTATACTTTCTGTTTTATTGAATTCTTTTTTTCTGAAACTCTCCATAATTTTGCTTCAATTGGATTGGTTGCTCTTTTGCATAACTTATATCCTGGAACTTCCTTTCATAGATCTCAGTTGTATCCACTAGGTTTTGTCTGTGTAGTTATTTATTTGTTAACTCCTCATTTTGCCAGAAAAAAATCCTTGGATAACTTCCTAGGGAAGGGTTCATGGAAAGAGAAGCTGTCTGAAACCGTAAGTGTATTAAAATGTCTTTATTCTTCTTTCACATTTAAATGATAGTTGGAGTGGGTATAGAATTATAGGTTAAACATTTGTTTTTCTGAGAACTTGGAAACCATTGCTTTGTCATCTAGCGTTTAATGTTGCAGATACTTAAATGAAATTTAATTTCAGTCTGAGTTCTCATTTCTCCGTTACCAACTTTATTTGGAAGTTTTGAGGATATTTTTTATTCAGAGTGTTCTGAAATTCCGTAAGGAATGCTCCGATTTTGTCTTGGCTGGACTCCTCCAATGTCACTTTCTCGGAGAGACTTTCCCTTTCTGCCCGATATAAGGGAGCCCACTCTCCCCTCATTCTTTATTACATCACCTCTTCAGTTTCCTTGTAGCACGTGCCACTATCTGAAATTGTCTTGCTTACTTGCTTTGCTCTTGTCTTTTGTCTCTAAGATATGAGCTCCTTGAGAACAGTTACTATAGCCGCCTACATAATAGTTGCAGCCCCGCCATCTACAACAAAGTTTGTTGTTGAATGAATGGACAGACGCATGAATGTCTTGGCCCAGGGCTTTGTTCATTCATTGTATTAGGCACTTTTAATCTAACACATATGTCCTTTTTTTTCTTTTAACCTCAGGGAGATTTTCTTCTACTATATCTTTACTCGTTCTCGTCTTCATTTTCCCTATGTTCTCCAGGACGCCTGTTTTTCAGATGTTGGAACTTACAGACTCATTACCTGTATGTTTAACTTGTTTTCTCATATTTTCTTTGCTATGAGAGATTTTTCCAAACTTGCTTTTTTATTCTTTATGTAAATTTTAAATTTTGAAAATAATTTTTTCTTTGGCATTCTGAGTGTTCCCTTTTCATAACGTCCTGCTGTTGTTTGAAAAGGAGTAATATCTTCTCAGATCTCTCTGCGCATATAATTCAGTTCTGTTTTTTTTTTTTACTTTGTTTCTGTGTCTTACATTTTGTCATTTTAGTTGAAATGTCAATTTTTCTGTTCATTTACTCTGGGTTTTACAGGTTGACAAGACTCAGTTTAGCATCTGTCACGTTATGTGTCCCTCTCCCCCACTCACCCCCCACCACACACAAGAACGAGGGAGTTTTATCCTTATTTGTCAACATCTAAGGTAGAAGCTTAGCTTTTACCTTTTGTTCTGAATTCTTTAGAAGAGCTTTCTGATGAATTTCGGGGCTCTGAATTGGGGATGGAGGGGGTGGGTATGAGAGTGGAAGGGCCCACTGATACAGTCTTCTCTCCCTTAGGTCTCCAGTGAGTCGCATTGTTTTCAGCTTCGCAGGCACTTTTGCTCCCTGTTGCACCTGCTGGATTTGGATTCAGAGTCGTGTAGAGGTTCCATGGGGCAGGCTGGCTCTTCTCCAAGGTGGCATCTGCTCATTTCACATGCACCTTTGCCTGTCCACTTTTATTTTCATGGAGTCTGGTGTCGCTCTTTCCATTTCTCTTTGCCAGCTCGATTCAT